CCGGGATCGAGTCCCGCATCGGGCTCCCTGCTCGGCGGGGAGTCTGCTTCTCCCTCTGACCCTCCCCCCTCTCATGTGCTCTCTCTCTCTCATTCTCTTTCTCTCAAATAAATCTTAAAAAAAAAAGATAATGCATCATCTCATTAAAAAAACAAAAACAAAAACAAACATTACATGTTGCAGTATTTAGACACCTTGGGTCAACTAAATATTGAAATTAATCTCACCTGTTTGTTCACTTTTCTTAGCATGGCTACTTAGAAAACTGAAAATCACTGTACAATTTGCATTCAGTTTCTATTCAACAGTGCTGGTTTTGAACACTGGAAGACTTAACAGGGACTAGGAAAAGCGGTAGGATATACGCCTACGATGGAACACCATCAGCACAGTAAAGAACGTGAAAGCGATTTTCTTACGTTGTACTTGCAGGGATGATATACGAAGAAAGCATGATGTACGAAAAACCGGTAGAACATGGTGCCTTTTATTAGGGAAGAGGAAGAAAACGGTCTACTTGTGCATGTATGTAATTTAGTGGAACCATCTAAACACTAGTCATATCCAATTGCTTCTGCGTAGTGGGAGAGAGGCTTTTTATTACATACTCTCTTGTGCGGCTTCACTGGAACGATATAATTATATTCCCTATTTATTTATTTATTATTTTTATTTTATTATGTTATGTTAGTCACCATACAATACATCACTGGTTTTTGACTATATTGCCTATTTAAACACAGGCTTTTAAGATTTTAAAAAGGAACGGAGAACGGAGTTTGGGAGGCACAACCCAACTCCTGACATCTAGGGTTCGCGAGGGGGTTTTTAGCCCTGATCACAGAGGACCTGTGGCCCTCACAGGGGTTTTTGCCAAGGGGACGTACGTGTTATTGCTCCAGGGACAAGGGCAGCGTCTGGTGTCCAGGAGTGGCATGCACAACCAGAGGCGAAAAGCGACAACAGCTGGGTCAGGCGCAGGGACAAGGCAGCACCTTTTTCTCGGTCTGTCCCCATCATTCCCTGTCCCGAGCCTTACCTTGCTCTCCTCCTCGGCCAGCCTCTCAAACATGTTGGCGTAGAGCTTCTTCTCCCGCGCGAGCTGCTTGCGGATCCGCTGCTGGCAGACAGCCAGCTGGGCCTTGGCGGCTTTGTTGCTGGGGTAGAGCTGCAGGACCTTCTGGAAGTCGGCCCGTGCCAAGTCAAAGTCATTCACCGCCAGGTGGGCCTCTCCGCGGCGGAAAAGGCCCTTCTCATTGTTGCTGTCCAGTTCCAGGGCCTAAGGACGCAGAGAGGAAGCAATGGGGAGACCTCAGCCCCTGTGGCCTATCTGGCCGAGACAGGGTTCCAAAGGGAGTCCTCAGAAGACCAGGCAGAACACACACCACCAGCTCCACCTCAGGAAGTCATCTTCGGGCATGAAATGGAAAAGACCAAGGTCTAGGGAGGAACCCCAGTTAGTCCTGGGCTTTCGATGAAAGAGAAAGACCCGCCACAACATTTCCATTCTCTCCAGAATAAAGCAGATAGTCATGAGGGACAGGCCACGGTGCTTGCTTCTTGAAGCCCTTGCCTCTGGGCTCTTCGTCTCCGGGCTCCCACTGGTTCACCTGCTACCCTATCCCTACCCTAATCACTGAGGCCAAGTTTCGGACCCCCTGGCAGCTCACCCAACCAAGCCTGCGAATGTTGCTCTCGTGCCCTCTTTAGACGGGCCTCACCTTGTTACAGCTTTCAATGGCAGCTGAGAAGGCCTGTAGTTTCAGATGACACATGGCCAGGTTGAGGTGGGAGGCCAGCCGAAGGCCCTGTGCCTTCTGCACGTCCTCATTAGAGAAACTTGACTCATATTCCAGCCAGGATACAATCTTCTTGTACTGCAGTAGAGCTTGCTTGTACTTGCCTTCCTAGAAAGGGAGGGAGGCTCAGGCACGGGGCTCTCATCCTCTGTAGTTATCAGTGACACATGATCCCCAGGCAGGACCAGCCAGCTCCGATACACCAGGTGAAGACTGCAAGTGCTCCCTGTTCCCTCCCTGGGAGTGTCCTCAGGGCCCCAGATGCTGGCTCACCCTGAAGTACACGGTGCCCCGCTCTTTCACTATGGTGCTCTGTTCTAGCTTCTCCTCAGAGTTCATCTCCCAAGAGTCCTTGGCCTGCCATGCCCCAAGGGAGAAACAAAGTCGTCAGCTACCCCAGAGCCACGTTCCAGGACCTGACTTCAGGACAGAGAGGACCTTGAGCAAACTCACCTTCTCAAAACTCTTGAGGTGTATTTCATATTTCAGCTCGGCATTTGGTGGGATCTGGAACTTTTCCTTCCCCACGTTGCCAAAAGCATAGCTGTGGGGTCAAAAAAACTAGGTCACCGCAGCCACGCTTAACCTGCTCCAAACTGAAAAGGTTCCCGGTCTGTTTCCTGCGAAGCACCTCCCCATCCCTTGAGACTTGTTTCCTGTTTGGCAAAATCTTCCCTGACCTCTTCACACAATTAGTTGGTCTCTTAGCATCTTCCATACCCTTCTTTTTTTTTTAAAAGATTTTATTTATTTATTTGAGAGAGAGAATGAGAGAGAGCACAAGAGGGAAGAGGGTCAGAGGGAGAAGCAGACTCCCTGCCGAGCAGGGAGCCCGATGCGGGACTCGATCCCGGGACTCCAGGATCA